CCGAGATGAACAATCAGCCCATGACTCTCCGTGCCTTGCTGGTCAAGATGATCCAGCACAAGTGTCCGCACATCCAGACCACCAAGTCGGGCAGCAACGGGCACACGGTCAAGGTCCGGCGCATGGCATGCAACCACTTGGTCGAGGACCGACCACGACGCCAGGACGAGAAGGCGGAAAGCCGCACCAGCCGGGCCAAGGCCAAACTGAGGGCAAATCCATCTCCGTCGATTCCGACCTCCTCATCGATTACATCAAGCCAGAGCGAGGCGGACCTCCTGGAGGAGTACCAGCACCAGGTGCAGAACCAGAGGGACCGGTACTGAATCGCCAAAAGCGGTGACAGATTGGCAGTGCCTTGAAGGCAGCCACCAAAACATGGTCAAAAGTTTTTGAGGTCTTTCAGCTCGACACGTCCACCTGGACAAAAAGAGTGGAGGCCACTGCCATGGAGTGTTTGCAGAATCATGTTCATGTGAAGTCTGATGGGCACATTCCTTGTGACGCTTCCCAACTTGATGCTCCACTTGACCTGTGCCTTCTTGATCTTGTTAGCAGCGAGGAGGGATTTCAAAGTGAACTCAAGGACCTGCAGGAACGCAGGCCCAGTTATGTCTGCATTGAGGTGAGAGAGTCCATGTTTCATTCGATTTTGAAACTTTGCCAGGCGTTCCTTTGTGAGTGTGGAAGTGGTTGGTCCCCCAAAGTTTTGATGTGCAGTCGTAGGTCTCACAAGGTTTCTGAGCAAGAATCTGATCCTTGCAGGACGACCAGCACATGTCATACTGACTGGTGGCAACATGCTGGTAAAGAGCACGTTTTTGCTTCCAACTGGAACTTGCTCCAGCCGCTCCTTCTAGGCAAGGAGACTCCTGTAGACTTGGTTCAGGTAGCACGTAAATTAGCAGCCTTGGAACATGGCCTCGAGAGTGACGACGTCTACATCTACAACCTCCGAGACCAACGAGCCGCGACACGGAGAACGCTGGAGAACTACTGGGTCCAACTTCACGAGCACCATCAGGACATCCCCAAGTTCGAGCGAGTTCAACCTCAACATCCTCTTCATACCGTCTTGCCCATTGAGGAGGAGGCTCTGCCCGAGGACGAGAATATCCCCAACGGCGCCGAGGACGAGCAAGGACAACCAGCCGAAGACGAGGACGCCAGTACGGTGCCGTTACCAGGCAGCCGTGCCAGGACTCTTCAACAGTTGGTTCAGAAGGCTCATGAAGGACTCGGGCATCCACACTTGGAACAGTTCCTTCGAATCCTCAAAGGCGCCAAGGCCACCAAAGAAGTCATTCAGGCGGCTAAGCAGCTTCGATGCAGTGTGTGTCAGAAATTTAGCCAGACCCGACCTCCGAGACGAGCTGCCCCACCGCGCGAACTCGGCATCAATGAGGTCGTGGGCGCGGACACACTATGGCTTCCGGCAGTTCAGGGACGAAAACGTTTAGCTTTAAATCTTATTGACTATGCTTCTCACATTTTCAAACGGTTATCCCCCTAAGTGGTAAAAGTCCCGAAGCTGTTTGGAATGCCTATCAGGTCTGGAGGAAGTTCTTTGGACCCCCCAAACAGGTTTGGGCTGACCAAGGAGGTGAATTCAAAGGGTCGTTCAAACAGCGCCTCTCTGATGATGGCACGCACCTTGAGGTGAGCAGCCTGGAATCACCATTCCAACGGGGCACGGTAGAGCGCCACGGAAAGACCTTCAAGGCCATCCTGGAAAAGACCATGCTCGATGTGCAGTGCGACAACCACGCGACGTGGCGAGAGTTGGTGGACACGACTGTCATGATCAAAAACCGTTTGGCCACTCGAGGAGGTTTTTCACCAGTACAACGTGTTCTAGGCTATCTACCACGGCTACCTGGAGGCTTGATGACGGACGAGGGCACGAATTCCCCCGACGCTGGCGATCTCGATCCTGGCGACGAAGGAGTTGCACGAGCCATGAGGATGCGGAAAGCCGCAGCTCAAGCATTCTACGAGGTGGATTGCGACCAAGCACTGAAGACCACTCCGAGACTATGTCGTCGGCCAGATGGTCTACTTCTACAAGTTGGGAGTCGGAGGCACTAAGGCAGGACATCGTCAACCACAACGGTGGCATGGACCAGCCAGGGTTATCATGACTGATTATCTTGGCACAGTCTGGCTCAGCTACCAAGGAGGACTTGTGAAGGCTTCCCCGGAGCGCATCAGGCCTGCCAGCGAAGAAGAACAACTCACGGTCTCCGGATGGCTGGAAGGGCTTGTTCGAGCACGACGCGAGTTCGAAGAGGCGCCTAAGCGCGGCTACGTGGACTTGTCAACGGAACCTCTACCTCCTAACCTGATGGTGATGACCCTGAGGACAACGAGGAAGACGCGGACCGCGATCCTCTGGTTCCAGTTCGGCGAGCCCGTGCCAAGGTCTCCACCGAGGACGTACCTTTTGAACGTGTTCCCCTACCAGCTCCAGTACCACCACCAGCGGCGGCGGCATCCGAGATGGACACCAAGGCGGCGATGGACAACGACCACGAGGCGGACGAGCACGATCCGACGTCAAGGCCATCGGCGACAAGAACGAGAGACAGTGTCGACGACGAGAACGACGAAGAGTCCGGCGAGAGACCGTCAAAGAGGTCTCGGATCGAGCTCCTGGAGGTGTACTATGCCAAGCTGGAAACGTTGTTCAAGACGAGACAACGAAAGGAGGTGCGCGCAAAGGACTTGCCGGAGCCGGATCGCCAAGCATTCCAGCGCGCCATGGCACGGGAGATTCGCAACAACCTGGACACCAAGGCCTACCAGATCCTGGACGAGGTCGAGAGCGAGATCATCCGAGGTACGAAGCCAGATCGTATCATGGAGTCCCGCTACGTCAAGACCGCGAAGCCTCTGGAACAGTGCGACATCGACAAGGCTGTCATGGATGGTGTCCTGCTCCAGGGTGACCACGGCGGGCCATGCAAGGCGAAGGTCCGACATGTCATGAAGGGCTTCTCTGAAGATGGAGCGGAGGAACTGGACTCAGCCACTCCTCAGGTGACCCGCGAAGGAGTGATCTTCACAGCCCAAGTCATAGCTAGTAAGGGTTGGGACCTAGGTTTTCTTGATTTTACTCAGGCTTTTCATTCTGGGGATCCTATCAATAGGGAAATTTATGCTGAACAACCCCCCGAAGGGATACCAGGGATGAAACCTCGACAGCTTTTGCGCCTCCTTAAAACCTGCTACGGGCTTCTAGATGGGCCGATTGCGTGGTACCGACATCTCCATCGTGTTTTGGTTCACGAACTTGGCTACCATCAGAGCCTTGCAGATCCTTGCCTATACTTTCTAAATGAGCCCACATGCAAAGGCTGGGATCGTTTGAAAGGTATCATTTCAGTAGCCACCGATGATCTGCTGCATGGTGGCGATGAAGAGCATCAAGAACGCATGAAGATCTTGAATGAGAAGTACAAGCTTGGCAAGTTTCAGTACGGCAGTGGAAGGTTTGCCGGCAAACAGTTCTCTCCCCAACCCGATGGCAGCATCCTGATCGATCAGGAGCACTATGTCAAGGAGAAGGTTCAGAACATCAGCCTGTCCCGAGTCCGTCGCAGTCAACGATACTCGTTTTGCAACGAGACAGAGATTGGATGGCTTCGATCTCTTGTCGGAGCTCTTTCATGGTTGGCTAAGGAAACCAGACCGGATCTGAGCGGCAGGGTGGCCCTACTTCAACAAAGCTTCCCGAAACCTCGGATCAAAGACATCCTGGCAGCCAACATCATGGCCAATGACGCGGTCAAGAATCATACTGGCATCAAGGTGATGCCGATTCCCTTGGAAAAGCTTCGGGTCAGTGTGGCAACGGACGCATCCTGGGGAAACGCTCAGGACGATCAGACTCGGGAGGCCAACGACGTTGACTACTGGGTGGAAACTCCCAAACATTGGGTGCGTTATCATCGACGACCGCGACGATCAGTGTACCACCCCGGCATGAGTGATGGTGGTCCAGACCTACATCAACTGTCAGGAATGAGAGTCACCAAGCTGCGGTACGTTGATGGCGAGGAGACCGAACATCGCGATGAGTGGAATAAGGTAGCCCCCGTTAGTTTAGGCGAAAGGGTCTGGACGGGTCAAACTATATTCCCCAAGGGAAATCTTTCTCATGGTGACATTCATGAGGGTTTCCTTCAGAATCAACGCACCAACAGCCAGGGAGGCCACATCCTGTTTTATCATGATGCTGACCTTCAGTATGAACCTTCCGCAGCGGTGACTTTGGCAAGTTGGAAAAGCTATAAGCTCAAGAGGAAGGTCGTCAACACCTTGTCCGCTGAGTGCCAGTCCCTGGTGGCCGGCATTGGGAATGTTCATTGGCACCGCTTTCTGATGAAGGAGGCGCAGGAGTCTCCCATCACAGACCAGGACTGGGAAGCACAGCTGTCTAGGTACCCATACCTTGCTGTAACTGATTCTAAGTCCCTCTTTGATGCTTTGT